TACATTAGCAAAGTATATATATATATATATATATATATATATATATATATATATAACGAGAGACAGAAAAAATGAAAGAAAATATAGACAGATAGATAGATAGATAGATAGATAGATAGATACTAAACGAAGCGTAATAATTAAAACATGAGCGTATTTATTGAAGCTCAAAGAAATTATCGGTTTGCTTTTATTGGTTCCAAGCAAAATCATTTTTCATCAATTAAACATGCCATTTTATGGATTAACTGTTTCATTTTATCTAAATACGTATTTTTCTGAATGCTAAAATATACGGAAATGTGGGAAATATATTTCACCTGAGCAAACTGTGTATATTATATTAATAAAATAGAATCAAGTTAGAACTAATTATTCGATCAGTTAAGTAATTTAATTTGATATCTTCATACACATTAATATGAATCTATAACCTGATTGCCAAAAGACAGTCTTGGGATAGCAAGCTAGGTTGATTTTGAAAACCAAGTAGTATCATCTATTATCAAACTAACTGTGGTGTTTGAATGAACTAATGATACCTTTGTACTTGTTGAATGCTTCATTCCGAATTCTAAATACAGTACATTCGTTTGTGCTTATCTAGTACTTCTTGATCCGATTACGTTATTTCTGGGATTCTTAGTTCATATTACAATTCAAATACTTTTAATTATCACACAAACACTACTTCTTGAAGGTGAATAAATAAATCCATACTATGTTAAAGCATCGATCTATAGATAGAATGCAAATATATGAACAGATTTCCACATTACAGTATTTTGTAATAACCTAAAAAATAACATAATACCAAGGTGAAGTCAATAAAAGACGGAAAAGATAACTGATGAAATCATGAAGAGTGTGGATTCTTCTTTTTAGCATTCCAAATAGATTAAATGTAACAAAAGCCTACCTTGATTAATATACACATATTTTAGCAAGATAAAGAAAATGGTGGAACTTAAATAATTTATAACTCAATTTAGGAGCAATCTAAATAGCAACAATAAATAATAATTCCAAATTCAACTAATCATTTAATTCTCAGTCGTCTTTTGATCCGTGAATTTATGAAGTGTAAGCTTCATGTTTAGACCATAATAATATTAATATGTTTACTTATTCTCGTGGGACGAATTGTAATCGCAACACAAACTGAGCACTCTCAGGACGCTTCTCTAATCATTCCCCTATTTAGTTCTTTATAGGATTAACAGAGTCAGTTAATAGTTCACCTGTCAGATATTTTCCAAACGTTGGTCAGGTTGTCTCACTAGAATTCTCTTTCAAAATAATCCATAAATGTAAAAGAGTAGCTCAAAAGGAATACAAATCAGGAACTTATGTACCATAGTGTTTTTAGCGATTCAACTATTCTAGCCTAATTTCTATGTACAAGGGCGACATGTCCAATCTCTCAGTTATAATGGTAGTAACACCGTTCGTAGGTTCCATACTTTGTAATCTATTGTCATTACCACTGCATTATTTCCTCATAAATATTGATTAGTTATGAATACAAATTTAATTCATTCTATCCTTCATAGATATTAAATAATTAACTATCTTACTTCCATAAAATATTTTCATCATAACAATTTTTTCATTAGAAGTTAGATGATTAAATCATTTCCTTTCATTGTTTATGTCTACAAACAATTTGTGACGTAATACAATTCTTTAGTCACAACTTAATATTCTTCATTTCCATTTTCGGTATATTACGTAATCATTTCCGATACTTAGAAATGTTTTCAATCATCTTTTACATGATACAATAAACTATAAATACGATTGTGAAGGTTTAGTAAATGACATTAATAAAAGTTAAACTTTCTTTAATAAATTGTCTTTATTTTTTTTCGATAAATCAATAGGTTTCATTCATTAGTTACTTAGCTTTTTCTATTTTTATATTCAATATTAATCTATATTAATTTGAGGTGGGGGAATTATCACTTTTTTTGATTGAGATCATGAACCAATTGATGTTAGACCACCAATTTTGGAAACCTGGAAGTACTGGACGGCCGTTTCGGCCTATTGTGGGACTCCTCAGCAGTGCGCGTCCACGATCCTGCCCCGTCGGATCCCAACCCACCACCTATCAGTTTCGCGCGTCAACGCTTCACCTCTACACCACTGAGCCGTCATTCAAAGGTGTTAATGTCTCACTTCAACCAATCCACGAAATTCAGCCACTGTTCATCATTATCTTCAGTCAGTTACCACCTCACAACAGACCCGGTTGAACCCCACTGGTCACTGCTTCTCACTAGAACTCCAGGAAATACCTCTTCAAGCCAGTCACTAGTGAGCATACGATGACGATCATCATCATGTTGTTTATGATAATGACGATGATTATTTTGAGAAGAGGTTTTGTGGAGATTTTAGTAATTTTATAGTTGAATTGAAGCTGGATCAGAATGGAGAACCTGAGAGCAGTGGACGGCCGTTTCCTTTTAGTACGGAACTCCTCAGCATTGCGCATCCACAATCCCGCCCCGCGAGATTCGATGTGCCTATACACTTTCTAGTTTGATACTATGATATGAGAAAAAAGGCAATTTAAATAACGGTTGTTTCTAATCTGATAACTGGATTCAATTCATGTACATTAGTTGCTAGTCATGTAAACATTTATGCATTCAATCAATAATCTATCTTATTTTCAAACTGAACTAGATTTAACGATAGGCGACAAGTAGATTCTATAGTCTATTATAAAGAATATGTTACATTAATAAAAGAAACACTTAGGAAAGTTATCATTAATGGAGGAAACAATAAAGTATACTACTTAAAAAAATGAAAAATAATTCACAGTAATATCTTCAGTTCATAGATTTTTAGCAGTACTATATATATAATTCTAACATAATGGACGATTGAATTTAGTAAATTCAAAGATTTTTTTTACCAAGCTTTCTTATTTGCTAAGTACAAAGATCATTATTGAATATCACTGCTTATCAATATTCATGAAAATTTCAAATTAAGATCGTCTAGAAAGATATTTAATGTGTAAATAATTCAAAAATAATTAAACAATAAAATCAGGGTGAATGGTGTAAATGCACTTATTGAAAACATTTTATCAGTGTACTTTTTAGTAAACTTCCCAATTTATACATATTGAATGTGTATGTGATATGAAACAAACATTTGCTAGCAGACACAGAGTAAAATTTATAACTCACTTCAGAAAATGAATTTTAATATTTTTTGTAACTACTTATTTAAAGTGAATTTATTGAATAGTCGGAATATTTACATAGATGTGCATCAATAAGAATGGGGGTCATTTTATTTTATTTGAACATATAAATATTAATACAAAGGGGTATCGAATGCATTTGCGCCATACAATTCATTTGATTTGTGTATGGGCTATGATACTGCCCGGGTGTACAAACCGAAACAGGTGGTTTTCTTAAGGGGCCACGCCTAAAGCCTTTGACCTAAAGTTTTGATTCACAAGGCAGTGGAGTAACATAAGGAGATACAGTCCCGTGTTAGCCAGTGACCAACAAATGGTTCATACGCCATTTGTTGCCTCAGGATTCTGGGGCCTACGTTCACCATTGGTTTGGAATGAGGGTTTTCCAACTCCCCTAGGTGGATCCTTTATATCCACCAACCCGGTTAATGCGCCGAACATTCCCTTTTCATCCTCACAATTTCGTAGACAACAGTAATGCCGCGAGAAGTCAGTGAATAGGACATCCCTGACAGAGTGGCTCTTTGTACATGTCCAAGTGAGAGCATTTTTGAAAGAGAGAGCTGACTCTCCCTACCCTCGGCCTTACCAGGGTATTTGGGGGTGTCCGTTTTACACCAAACATCTCTTGCGTTCCAGTTTATACATATATATCACCATTTTGCTTAACACTGAATAATAAGCAAATTAGCTAACTGAAATGAAAATTCATCCTTACATTTTTATACAATAAATGCCGAATTTAGTCAATAAATTGGATGAATAAGCATTGATAAATTCATAAGAATTACATAACAGTATTTTTATGAACTAATAAAGAATTAAGATATTTGATATGGGTAATATTCACTTAAATTGTTAAATAATAAACTTTTTTCAGATCATATGCTTTGTAAGTAATGAGTACATCCCATAATAGTAGTATAGTGAGTTGCCTATAAATATATCTGTCTGAAAATATCTTTCCTGACTGAATTCCAGTTAGTTTTTTTAATATATAGCATTCACTAAATGAATTAATTCAGAATGCCTATTTCAAACTTATAATTGATTATTGAGGTCTTCCTATTATCAGTTTATACATTCTAATTACTATGTTATATTATGTAATCTATTTAATTCTTATAATTGGCTGATAAATTGCCTTGACTGGTTTAGTAATTTACATTTGTATATAGAAATAACCTCTGTATTAAAGCAATGGTTAATGAAGATTTAACTGAAAACAATATTCTTGGTTGGTATGTGCTGTTCATTTTATAGCCAGTTATTATGAGCATATATTTATCTAACAACGACCCTAATTCATTGTTAACTTCTACATGAAATTTTTAAAAGATTTATTAATAATGATAAAATATAATATTCAACTAATTCGTTGTTTGATTTACAAATAATCAGTTTGATCCCTTAGACTTATTTGAGATCAATTTTATGAATTTTAGTTCAAAATTGTAGCGGATGATCAGCAGTAATATTGAACTGTATACCTAAACTATCGTTAATATACTATAGTTCAAAACTGCTAATTCCTAAACTCATCATAAATGATATCGTTTTGACTGCAAAATGTGACATTTTTGGCTTCGTTGCGGTATGTAATCATGAATGTGAAGAACACAAATGTTTTAAACTAAAACAAGCATTACTGATTTACCAGACTCATATATATATATATATATATATATATATATATATATATATATATATATATATATATATATATATATATATATATATATATATAAAACATGAAATAACTCTTACTCACATCTAAAGAATCCGTTTTATCCATTGTATTAATATCATTATGATTAATATTGTCAGTTTCAGCATCATCCAAATTAGTTATTTGTATTGAATTTCTTAATTCACACATATTATGTGTTTCCAAAATAAAATAATCCGGTTGAGAATCATTACTATCTGATAACATTGAACAATTGCTAACATTTGTTGTCTCATCTGAATCTTCTATAAGTGTATTTGCAGTATCATATTCATCTATAGAAGAATTGATTGAAAAGCAACCAAATGATGAACTTTGACCTTTTTTAGCTTTATAACGTTTACGACGTTCTTGTCGACGTTCGGAGAATGATTTCATTGATATATCTAATTTAGCATGAATTTGATCATGATTATTTTCAATGTATTTTCCATTTATTATTGTTTTCATTTCTTCAGTTGGTGTACTTATATCTGAATCATTGAGTTGATTTTCATTATTCTCTTGATTATAAGAACCTAAGTTGAATGTAATCAAATAGAAATAATGTATAAATTGTTATTGTATTAGTTTATACGTTATCAATACTATTGCTTTATTGGGATATATTCTTTGATTATCTTTATTCAATGTAAATATGAAATATGTTATAAAATGGAATACAATTCAAGAGTATAAAAAGGGTTAGTGTGTTTGATATAGAATGATCTTTAAAACTCTCTACCAGTTATCAAAATCTACTCGTGTTTAATTAATGTTAAATATTATTACCTAACTGATCACTTATGTAAACTTTTATTTTAGATCTTTTTGAAAGTTAATAAACTCTACCTTTATTACATAACTATTTATACTAATTTAAATAAGTGACCATATTTACTTATGTCAATGTTATATCCTTAGAATATTTAAAACAACTGCTTTAAAATGTTCTAATGTGTTTACTTTAGTGACCTCTTTGACATGAACAGAAATATTGTACTATTTATACAACAACCTAATTCAAATTAACTTATTTTCATAATCAATATTCAGTGATATGTGGTAATGGTTTGGTTTTTCAAACATAATCTGTTTTCGAATAGAGCAAGAATAAAACTAACCTATCTAAGTCATATCCTATTAATGAAATATATATATCAAAAAACATTACAGTGCTAGCACTGTAGTAAATGTTGGTGATAAAATTTTAGTTATATTAAGGTCAGTATGGAAAATTAATTACCACAGTGATAAAATTACATTACCCAAAGATATGATTGTTAGAAACAAGAAGTTGATAAAGGGAAACTATAAAGAACGTCTTCAAATACACTTAGCAATAAAATGATGATTATGTGTTGCTTAGAAGAGGCATTTTAAAGGTATTAATTTTCCGACTTGAATAGTTTATTAATTAACTTTATAGGTATTAATTTTGTTATATCCCGATAAAAATAATGAATGGCAACTGCTGGGATCTATTTCTGGATTAGTACTTTACATATATCTTTATCGTATAAGCATTAAGTAACTAAACTATGCATATTCATATTCCTCTCATTATAGGCTTTATTTTGACCTACAGAATATTATTATACGATTTACCATTCTTAAGTTATTCCCAGTTTATTAATTACAGTATCCCACATTCACAGTCACTTTTGGCTAAATTTTGTACAAATGTTGTTTCCTATTTTATGGTACAGTGTGGTCTGTTTAGTTGGTTTAGAAACCCGGTATATTTGAAATATATGATTCATATCGGGAAGGCTGAGACTGATGTTCTGGACTTAACTTGGCAGAGCTAGGCGGGAAACAGGGCCGATAAAAACTCTAGACTGGTTGTACGGGTTTTATGCATCATTGGATCTGTCGATAAATCACTGTTCTCTAATTGGCGGTCTTATTACGTTAGACGTTGATGGGGGCATAAAACCACAAGTTATAATAAATTTCTTGTGTTGTTTTGTGAGAAGATTAAAAAAATTATGATTACATCATATAGTTCGAAGTACAGAGTACATCAAAAAACTGTATTATGATCCCAAATGTTTAGTTTATTTAGTAGTTGAGTTCATGAGTCAATTGAAGCTAGACCATCACGGAAAACCTAAAAGCACTGGACGGTTGTTTCGTCTTAGTATGGAACTCCTCAGCAGTGCACATCCGCCATCCTAAAATACAAAGTAGTTCAGTAATTCTACCTATCTAATCGATTATCAGGTTGTTATAACTATTGACCAAAAAGAAATAAAATAATATTTATATTACACATCTCGTCAATGATTTCATACATGTATTTACTGTTAGAGAATCACTAATGCTTACCATCAGAATGGAAGAATAAAGAGTTATGGTATAACATTATGTTGGACAGAAATTAACTGACTACAAACACTGAATAGCCGTTTCATCCTAGTGTGGGACTCCTTAGCAGTGCGCATCCATGATCCCACCTCAGAAAATTCAAACCCAGGACCTATCTATCTCGAATCTTACATTGCAGGATCGTGGATGCGCACCGTTGAGGAATCCTGTACTAGAACGAAACGGCCATCAAATGCTTTAAGGTTTCCCATGGTAATCTAGCTTCAATTAACTTATAAATTCAACTATAAAATTACTACCGTTTCTACAAAACACCCCTTCTGATTACAAACAACAACTACCAAATGAAATAATAATACAGATCATCTTATTTCGATAGAAAAAATAGGTGACATTTGTATTTTTCATAAACAAAATAGTGATTTATTAGTTTTTTGAAAATATTTTTTCTCTGATCCCGGCAATACAACTAGTTTGCTTAACTTGATTGTTTTTATTCTGTTGTTGTTATCATTTTCATTCAACCTAAAATTGTCGTGAATATTGATACTTTTTAATAAACTGCAAAACGAACTTATATCTAAGCAAAGATGGATAGTGGCTAGTAGTGGAATCCAGTTTGACGCGCGTTTCGTCCTATCTGGGACTCGTCAGCTCGATGTACCTGCATCTCAGAGCTGATGTTCACTACTGGATTCCACTACTAGCCACTATATATATATTTGCTTAAAAAGCTTGTGACTTAAGGCTATATTGAGGCAATCCGCACAGGATGCACATATGCCAACATGAGACTGATCAATTACAGACTTAAATATCAATGGGAAGATATAAGTAAAATAACACCAAATAAATTTAAACTTATGCTTAGTAAGAAAACAATATCAAATTATATGATTTCATTTCTAAGCTTTATGGATAATCTATTTAAATTACAGAAAGATATATTAATGAATTAACTTACTTTCAAAGATTTCATTGATTTTTACTGTATCCATTAAATTGTTTGGTTCAACCTTTTCAATGATACTTGAAATCTTGTTATGAGTTGTACTATTTTGATTTGAATTGGATGAAATGATTTCAGAATAATTTGATAAATGAGATTTGTTTATATTAATTTTTAACCGTTTATATGCTTTTTCAATTAAAGCATATAAAAACCCAAGAAAACATAAAAAGATAGCTAATCCATATAATCCAAAATAGAATTGAAGCATATTGAAAATGTATACTTTTTTCTAAAAATAAAATTAATTAAAACTATGTATATAGAGTGTACTCTCATCAACTGTTCTTTAAAACAAAAAACCGAAAAAAAAAATAAATAGTTGCCGATTAAAAATTTGAAATGGGAAGGTAAATCATTGAAATAAGACACTATGTAGACTTACGTCTTATTTGATCGAAATGCATTAAGTCATTTTAATAGTTGAAATCATTAGCTAATTGAAGTTAGACCACCATGAAAAACATGGAGGCGCTGGACGGCCGTTTCGTCCTAGCATGGAACTCCTCAGCAGTGCGCATCCACGATGCCGCCTCCCGAGATATTCGAACCCAAGACCTGCCAGTCTCGCGATCGAGCACTTAACCAATAGACCAATGAGCCGACCGGCATTCAGAGGTGTTAATGTCTAACTTCAACCAACCCACTCATATTTACAAATTGCATAGAATGTTGTTTTTTTATGGTACATACAAGATTATTTCAATAGATGTGTGTATATGTAATTCTAAATGATACCTTTAACTTCGTGAAGGAAACAGTGTTTCATTTACGGTGTTCGATATACGTAATAGTTTAAGTATAAAAGAGAAAGTTATTAATGCCTTAATCTTAATCTGTTTTTTCTATCCTTGCTTTTATATAAATGTCAATTAATGTCAAGTAAAACCTGAGTGTTTGTTTAGTTATTCTATCATAAATCTATAACCCCTACATTTAAAAAAATCAGCAGTACTTATGATGAATGTTACAGTAAATGTCAATAATTATTGGAAACATTTATTATACAATTTCATTTTTCGATTTGTTTGCAATTAGTTTTAGTGGAACCTTGACAGGTTTACAAGTGAACAACGGCTTTTTTTATTAGTGTATTGATTATTTCAGAAAATCAATTTGGAAAACTCCTTGTGTTGGTCACATGACAGTTATATATAAGAGATCGAACATTTGTAATAAGGTTTTTTGTATCCGATTAGGTAGAACACAAACTTCACTATTAATTGATTCTTTTCAAATTCATTATAAAGATATGTGAAGATTGTGGTATTCTTACATTTGAATTCATAAGTTGATCTAAGCTGGACAACCACTGAAAACCTGGAAGCACTGGGTTGCACAAGATTATCAAACGATTGAACTTAGGCACTAACACCGTTGGATGCTGGTTCAGTGGTCTAGAAGTTAATCGTTCGCTCGCGAAATTCAAGGTCCTGGGTTCAAGTCCCACGTGCGGGATTGTGGATACGCACTGTTGAGGAGTCCCATACTAGAGGGAAACAGCTGTTCAGTGCTTCCAGGTTTTCAATGGTAGTCTAGATTACATCGATTCGTGAATCCAACTGTGAAAATATTTTCAAAATATTTAAATCATGTCTCCAATCGTTTAAAATTGAATTATTTATTCAGATTATGAAAACTTTATTTAATTTGGACTAACGACACCTAATGAACAATTAGATACCAGCAAAAATCAATTGATTTCATTTTTTTCATTTTAATTTACAACTTTTAAGCCGTATACATACCAAACTCAATACGAAAACGGATCCAGGACCTTCAGATATTACAGTTGAAGGGTTACATTAGTCATTACTTAGTTAGAATATCATTTCTACTGTAAAACATTTAAAATAACCAAACTATATGATAGGGATATGAAAATGAAAGGCTGTAGATGTTATTTTGTATTTTTATATGCTATTTTGAATTATTCACTGTTACATCAATTTATACGGTTTGGGTTACTAAAACTTTAGTTTATACGCTTAAATCTTCAGTATATTTTAAAATAATTCTGGGAATCATTTTTATGAATTAACTTGGCATCATTACATATTCATCGTCAATAACCCTGTCAATAATGTAAATGTACTTGAATATCAGCTTGTTCCTAATATATGTGTTCAAAAGGTCATTAGCCGCCTGGAGCTCCTCTGGAGCTTCTGCCGGTCCCAAGCCCGGATAAAGGAAGAGGGTTTGGCACGGGGTTAGCGAACTCATCCCATAGAAAACTAACTCGCTAAAAAAAACCCTAACCGACATTGTAATGTTATTCATAATGGTTAACAATTATTTTTATATCCCTACACTTATATGTAAAAATGATTATGTCAAATATTAGTAGAATATTCTTTAGTTTATTTATGCGCACACCCCATCAAGTGTAAACTAACAACACAATTGGAAAACACAATAGTCATTCTAATTCGATCAATCTCTATGAACTTGTAACTATTTAAGGTATATTTACTTTATTAATTTACTGAATATTTCTGTAATAATTTGCTCAGATATCTGCTGAGCTACGTATTTACATATAGGTGACATTTAAATTCTTCTATTTTAGATATTCTGACGAAAATATGACATAAGCATAATGTGAAATTACTATTCTAATCTAAACAACGAATTTTTTGTTGTTGTTGGCTTTATTAAGTATCTAAAGATTAATTTCATTTAATTCTGCAATAAACTAAACATACTGATTTACCTAACCTATTAGTAATTGACTTTTTTGATGTTATCGTATGGAATAATCAAATGTTTGAATATTTGAGTATTACATTGGAGTCTCAATAGATTTTCAATACAGAGATATGTACCATGGAATTAAAATTTAGTAAGGAGTTGTGGAGATTGTTGAGTTTTAATGAAATCACTGATAAACTTAATAATGATGTTGTTCAGCTGAACGATGAAAGTTTCACAACCGAACGTATCCAGCTCAAAGACTGAAAGACTACAAACATCCTTATCCTAATCTGCAAATATTCTCAATATTATTATATATTTATATATTTTACTTTCTTAATAAATCTGAAAAACTAATGAATTCCTTTAACATTTTATAGTATTCAAACGGATCAACCATACCAAGATTTCACTTGATATTGTTTACTTGTATCTTCCCATTGTTATTTAAGACTGTAATTGATCAGTCTCATGTTGGCATATATGCATCCTGTGCGGATTGCCTCAATATTACCTTAAGTCACAATCTTTATTAGCAAAGATGGATAGTGGCTACCAGTGGAAAACACTTTAACGCACGTTTTTTTCCTATTTAGGACTCGTCAACTGGGTGTACCTGAATCTCAGAGTTGATATTCACTCTGAGACACCAAGATTTGCAATTGAATTAGAATTACTAACGTTTAATTAAGATTGAAGAGATTTTTTTAGAAATTATATAAGAATTTATTTTTGTTATAATTTCGTTGTTTACATTCACTTTGGATTTTCTAAACTGTCAATAGATATATTAAACAAATATGTACAACTTATAATTCAGAATTCCAATTAATTTCTCACACTTATTCTAAAAACACTATTGAAATATACTTTTGAAATAGATGATACTCTTCTTACTTTCAATACATAGTTTATGAGTCAATGCGTGAAACACACATAATTTCATGATTCGCCTTATTTATGTTAACTACAACTTATGAGAAGTGATTAGAAACTGTTGTGGCTGATATCGATGATACCACTGTCGAAATGTCAACAGGCTGGATTCCGTAAGGATCGATCATGTACCGACCAAACCGCAACACTACTGATCATTGTGGAATAATCACTTGAAAAAAAAATCATTACTCTCCATCAACTTCATTGACCACGAGAAAGCATTTGATAGCGTGGACAGGACAACACTATGGAGGCATCTTCGACACTACGGTGTGCCTCAGAAGATAGTCAATATCATACGAAATTCCTGTAATGGATTAAACTGAAAAATCGGGCATGCAGAACAGCTCACACACTCGTTCGAAGTAAAGGCTGGTGTCAGGCAAGGTTGCTTACTCTCTCTTACTTTCTCTTTCTTCTGATGATCGACTGAATCATGAAGACGTCAACATCTGGGGAGAAGCATGCGATACACTGGACAGCTAGGATGAGGTTGGATGATCTAGACTTCGCAGATGATCTGGCACTCCTATCGAACACACAACAACAAATGCAGGAGAACACGACCAGTGTAGCAGCAAGCTCACCATCAGTAGATCTCAACATACACAAAGGGAAAAGTAAGATTCTCCAATACAACACGACATGCACCAATCAAGTCACAATTGACGGTGAAGCTTTGGAGGATATAAAAACCTTTACATATGTGGGCAGCATCATTGATGAACATGGTGGATCTGGTGCAGATGTGAACGTGCGGATCGGCAAAGCAAGAGCAACATATGTCTGCAACTGCAGAACATCTGGAACTCAAAACAACTGTCTGTCAACCAACATCAATGTCGGAATTCTCGATACAAATATCAAAACAATTCTACTGTATGGAACGGAAACTTGGACAACTACGAAACCCATCATCCTGAAGATACAAGTGTTTATCAACAATTTTCTACACAAAATACTTCTGTTCCGTTGGCCAGACACTATCAGTAACAACCTATTGTGGGAGAGAACAAACCAGATTCTAGAGGAGGAAGGAATGAGGAAGAAGTATTGGAAGTGGATAGGACACACATTGAGGAAAGTACCCAACTGTGTCACGGGGCCACCCCTCACTCGGAATTCTCAAGACCAAATGAGGAGAGGAAGACCAAAGAACACATTATGCCGAGAATCGGAGACAGATATGAGAAGAATGAACAACAATCGAATAGAACTAGAAAGGAAGGATCAGGACAGAATGTGTTGGAGAAAGCTGGTCGGTGGTCTATTCTCCAATGGGGGTAACAGGCGTTGGAAGTAAAGTAAAAACCGTCAAAGTGATGTGACTCAACACAACAAAATAAGTTTCAAAAAAATGAAAGCAGATGAAGATTTATTACTGAAAGCTTGACTTGAAATTATATATCATACGATATAACTGTAGGAGAACAAAATGGAACATGTGTTTTTATCGGAATGAGTAAACTGTAAGATATTTAAAATTACTTTTAAAACAAACGTTTAGACTTCTAAAATTATTCAAAATCTGTATATATATTCATTCTTTCTACTCTAGCTAGTCAATATAGAAATAAA